TTCCAGTTGAGAGGCAGTTGAGTGAAGTTCGCAGTTGGAGTTGCACCCGCCTCGCAGAAACCTGAGTGAAAGATTCCACGCAAATCACGACCTCAACTTCTAACCAACAACAATTTATTTTTGAAGAACGACTTAGACTCACACCACCGAAACAAGTTTTACGAATGTCGCCTGAAGATACACCAAGAACCAGTTTCTTAAAGAACAAACAACTTAAGATGTTAAGACTCGCCTAACAAACACAAAGTGTCACGAATCCATATAGCGGGTTGGGAAGAAGACTCTGTCCTGTATTCAGCAACCAGAAATAAAATATTGTTATCCTTTTTTAACACATTTGAACTTTTCGAGTTATTATTTTCTTTTCTTTTACATATACTTGTGCGATATCGCCCTTGTTCGAACTCGGCTTGCATTACGGCCCGGCGACTGATTGATTTCGTCTACCTAAGATCAAATCACAACGTGGGTAGGTTAGACTAGAAATCAAAGCAGTTACTTTGGTAACCAGACGTTGGAGGCGAGCTGGGAACGACAAGGCTGATACCGAATCTAACCAGATTCCCATCCGAATCAGCAAAAGGTTAGAACGTCACATTTGGTGCCGCGAACAATAGTCACATTTGGTGCCGCGAATCAAGTCACATTGGTCGTCACGGGACAGGATAGGACGGTGACGGCGCGGAGACAGACGGGGTGACGTCACAACTGGCGCCGCGACCTGGACAGCACGGCGGGCGCGGCCAGGCAGACGTCACATTTGGCGCAGCGACACCGGGGGACGTTCACATATATATGAAATAATGAAGAAGAGACTCGAGGCGAGGGAGATGTGGTTCTACAGAAGGATGCTAAGGATATCATGGACCGACCATGTGAGCAACGATGAGGTCTTAGAGAGGCTACAGATGAGGAGGAGGCATGGTTAATATCAGGAAGAGGCAGCTGAAGTTTCTGAAACTCATAATGAGGAAGGAGGGCTTGGAGAATCTGATACTCACGGGTCAAATAGAGGGAAAGAGAGACAAGAGAAAGCAGCGCGTAACACACCTGACGAGCTTGAGAAGGTGGATGACAGAACGTGGTCAGGGGGAGGTAGCAGAGGGAAGGAGCTTGTTGACAGCTGCAAGGGATAGAGGAGGTGGAGGGCCATGACCGCCTACGTCCTGAAAGGACGTGGCACATAAAGAGAAAGGATTAATACGTGGACAGAGGACGGCAATCAAAAGCACATATAAATGAATTCTGGTAAGAAGTAAGGGGGTACAAATGAAAAATTTGAAATTGACGACTTTTTTTTAATTTCACTGAAACATACGTTAAACCCTTTTTAACGTCTATGATATGTCTTTTCTTCTCACGTGATCAAAACGGAATTGCCAATTATTTATGACTTATTAGCAGGAGACGTTAAACACGTCTTTCGTTTTTACACTGAAATCAAGTAGCGTCTCTGATATGCCTGTTGTCTTTCCACGTGATCAAAACGGAAGAGTCCATTATTTATGAGGTATTGACAGGGTGCAACAGCCATGCGAACTAAGAAACTAACGAGAGGAGGGATAAACACAATTATTATTATTATTATTATTATTATTCTGTTACAGAAATATAAATTCGTATATTTTCCTTCGCTCTTTCTGTATGTCTTTAGCCTATTAAATACGCAGAATTTAAAATGAATTAGTCAAGATAAAAATTTGCTTTCTATGCATAATTTGTAATGACTGAAACTACTAGAAATGTAAACTAATATTTTCCTTTTTTTTCCTTGGTGGATTACTCGCCTTTCTCCCTTTTTGGTTCTATCTTTGTATCAAAAGGAAACTGGGTGGATCCATGACTAACACCTCCTCATCCTCCTCCTCCTCCTCCTCTTATAACATCCGCTTTGTTGTTATTTGCTTTCTCTTTGTACCGAAAAAAAAAGTCATGTTCCTGACTGAAAGACATTCTCTGGTTTATAATTCTATCATTCTTTTGTTTCTCGCTGAAAAAAAAAAAACGACTACCCTCACAACTTCCAATGACGGATTTTGTTAACATAATCATGGCTCCCCAACCAGCAGTAGAGCCCGGCGTTGCCCGGGGATGTAACAGTAAGAGATAGATCAAGTATCGACCATCATAAAGACTGAAAAATAAAATTGACAAAGATTATTGTTTAAGGTTGACGGACACGCATGTCTTAATTAGCTTTTTTTTTTTTTTTTTTTTTTTTGTTGTTGTTTGTTTTTTTTTACGAATTGGTCAAAACCAAACTCAAACAAAAACATTGTTTTCAATCGTTATGTATGAGTCTACCGATTGAATAGAATTTTATTATGAACAATTATCTTGTAAATGGAATTTTTAAAGCATTCTGAATGTAAAAATAAAGAAAAAAAGTGTAAAGACAATAAGAAACACTACCTGCCAAAAAAAAAGTGAAGTTTTGTTGGAATCGGTTGAAAAATGTAGGAAATCCGATCCCATATATAAACACACACACACACACACACACACACACACACACACACACACAAGTTTGGTTTTTATAATATGTATAACTCGATATGAGTTGTCCCCCTTTATTCTCGCGATAGCGATGCTTCTTAATCTTGTTTTCAAATTGATTTCGTGCAAAAACAATTGTGTTTTTCCAATTTTTGGCGCTGTCAGAACCACCGCAAGGTAATTTTACGTAGTCCTGTGAAGTTTTGTTGAAATCGGTTGAAAAATGTAGGAAATTCGATCCAATATATAAACGAACAGACACACACACACACACACACACACACACACACACACAACCTGGGTTTTATAATAAGTATGATTCTCAGTTAAACTTGGCACATACACACAATGTTACCAATGGTAAAAGAACTAATAATGGTAGCGGTGCGGATTGAGGAATCGGAGACTGGAGTTCGAATTCCACTTGAATCTATTACATTCACTTACGTTCTAATATCCTTATGAAAGGTATTAATCCTTTTCTTCTGCCCCCCAGCTATGGGTAAATAGCAAGACAGACCGGGTTCTATAGCCTCGGATGGCAACTGGTCTACCGCAGAAAGAAATTGCAAGCTCCTACGGGAACAAATCTGCCTCGTCAGTCATGTATCGAAAGATACATGATCGCCTAAGCATGTATCATGCATGGCACATAACTGACTGATATTCACTTACGAGCAAATATCCTTGGGAAAGGTATGAATCCTCCTCTTCTCTCCGTCTCAAAATATGGGTAAATAGCAGGACAGACCGGGTTCTATAGCCTTGGATGGCAACTAGTGTACCGCAGAAAGTAATTGTAACCTACTACGGGAAGAAATCTGCATCGTAAGTCATGTATCAAAAGATACATGATCGCCTAAGCGTGTATCACGCATGGCACATAACTGGTGGAATTGTAATATTAACCGTTTCCCTATAAGGAAATAATCGGCATTCATTGGCCAGGGAGACAGTGTTACTTTCGATTAAATTTTTAATTTCTTTTTTTATATTAAGACATTATTTCTATTTCCAGTGTTTTCTTCTTAACTTTTTTTTAAAGTAGTTTGGAAATGCAATATTTTGATTATGTCATAACTTTCTCCTCGAATTATATGTAATGTACAATATAGTTTTTGCAGCTGTTGAAAGTCATCAAGTGATCTTGTTTCTGTTACTTGAGTTCATTATTTGTGATTCTGTAGCGCCATTCAAAGAAGGTTGGTCCTCGGTAAAACATACAAGCTTCATTTACCGGAAAACATTTGTAACCATTTATGTGAGAAACTTTCATCAAATTTGCCACCATATTCTCCAAAGAAGTGACGTCTCTTTATTACTTTCTTATTATAACTCTGCTTGTCTCCTGCACTTCGTTAGTTTGCACGCCGCTACGACCTGCCAATACATCATAAATAATGCGCTCTTCCGCTTGTGATCGCGTGGAAAGAGTGGGGGGAAGACATTTCTTAGTGAGGAAATGAAAGAAAGAAGGGAAGATAAGAGAGGAGAGAGAAAATTAAATTGATAAGAACAGATGCTACACGTTGATCTCGATCTTTCGGCTGAGAAAAGGCGCCATTTTTAGATGCACTGTACCTAAAGACGGGAATGAGTATAGCAATCGCCAAAAATCTGGTTTCCATAAATTAATTAAAACAACACAGTCTGCTGAATTATTTCTGAATTATCATTAAACGGAATGTCCGTAAGACTGGGATTTAGCTAGAAATAAATCAATAAATAAGGCAAGATAAAAGATTAACGCCTCCTCTTAAAAATGGACTATTCGGTTTTGATAGCATAGAAAGGGGAGAAAAGACTACTTGATTTTAATAAGAAAATGAAAGAAAGACATAAGGCAACATAGAAGTGTTTAAAGTCTCCTGCCAGTAGTTCATAAATATGGACTATTCTGTTTTGATTACTAGGGGAGAAACGACTGCTTATTTCAATGAGAAAATGAAAGAAAGACAGACGACAAGATAAAAGTGTTTAACGCCTCCTGCCAATACCTCATAAAAATAGACTATTCTGTTTTGATCGCATGGAAAGGAGGGAAAAGACTATTTGATTTCAATAATTTGGACAATTTCTCGATAATTTTCATGGAGGTCTTTCTCTCAGATGGTACTGCTTTGTCAATAAGCATACACTTCCTGAATTTCTTGTCTTTTATTATAATATCAGGTCTGTTGGCTTTTATTTCCATCAGTTTGAATTGGCATATCCCAGAGGATAGTTACATCGTTATTTTGGGTAACTGTGTCTGGTTGTTGGTCATACCATCTCTCAGTGATTTCGATTTATTTATTATTATTATTGAATTTATATATTCATACCAAATGTCTTATTCTAATCGCTGGAGTCTGAGCGACAGCAAGTCTTCAATACCATCATTATCATTATCAATATTAATGTTATTAAGTAGAGATTGTGTCTGTGTTGTATAGGTGATGGCGTTAGATTTGCCATTTATTATTATTATTATTAACATAAAGTTTGTCGACTGCGACGCTTACTGCAAAGACGTAAGCCGCGCGCGTAATACGGATCTGATAGGAACAGGATGGTCAGCTCTTTTGCTGCAGGCGTAATCCGAGTCAGCGCTCAGATTGTCGTCGCGTTCTGATGGAGAAAAGAAAGGAAAAAAGAACAAGCAAGTGTATGTCCTTGTTCGATTTTACCATATTTAGCTAAACGCTCGAAGAATCCGGGCTTTGATACGCCGTTTACGGATGAAGGCATTTTTATAGACACGATACAAAAGATGACAACGACAGTATGATGGCTTAAAAGAAAGGAAAGAGAAATGGAAGACAACATCCGTTCGATTCGAGTTGAGTGTTGTGTTTCTCTCTGTCTATATCTGTTGCTGCGCGTGCGTTTAGGCGCCTTCCCGTGTGTGCGCCTCATTCTGGAGTTTCTGTTTAATTTTAACGCATGAGAGAATTGGTTTAAATCAGCGCACAAAATTCTGTAAGTAGCAAAATCTAAAACTGGATGAAGATTAAGACGTGACAATGGAAATATGTTAAATGGGCACACTCAACGGAATATAGATAGATAGATAGATAGATAGATAGATAGATAGATAGATAGATAGATAGAAAAGGTCGAGATACGAAAAAAGAAAGAAAGAAAGATGAAAAAGCTGAGATAGATAAATATGAAAAGCGATAGATAGATAGATAGATAGATAGATAGATAGATAGATAGATAGATAGATAGATAGATAGATATAAACAAGTCGAGAAAGAAAGAAAGAAAGATGAACAGGCTGATAGATAGATAGATAGATAGATAGATAGATAGATAGATAGATAGATAGATAGATAGATAGATAGATAGATAGAAACAGGTCGAGATACGAAATAAGAAAGAAAGAAAGAAAGAAAGATGAAAAGGCTGAGATAGATAGATAGATATAGATAGATAGATAGATAGATAGATAGATAGATAGATAGATAGATATAAACAAGTCGAGAAAGAAAGACAGAAAGATGAACAGGCTGAGATAGATAGATAGATAGATAGATAGATAGATAGATAGATAGATAGATAGATAGAAACATGTCAAGAAAGAAAGAAAGATAAACAGGCTGAGATAGATAGATAGATTGATAGATAGATAGATAGATATTTGAAGAAACCTCGTGTCACACAGTGGACAGCGATAACCACGAGACAGCTGGTGTGAACCTACAAATCTGTAGAATAATAATAATAATAATAATAATCTATTGAGAAGCCTCATATATTCCTTGTGTGATAATTCACAGAGTATAAAACTAATAGTAACATCACAATTCTCTTTTATGCAGAGAAAGAAAGTTAATGACTGAACGAATTCAGCAACAAGCCGAGAAAAAATATAAGGGAATATCAATCAGTGATACAGTTTGAAATGAAGACTCACATCAAAGCAGCAAATATCATAAAATTAAAATACAGAAATGTAAAGAAATATGTTGGATTCATGCACAGAAATAGTATATTCTGACCAATCAGCACAAAACAGGCAATAGTTTTCAACCAATGAAAAATAAAGAATTCAACTCCCACAAAATAAACATTTCTGGAACCTATCAAAATCCATAAATAATTCTGAACTTTGTTAGCATTTGAATATCAACATGACTGCAAGCTATACACATTTTCTCTTAACACAAGTTCCACAGAATATTCGTTGCTCCCTGATAAACCTCTAAAGATCTATTCATTAAGTTTATCAACATCGCCTTTTATTCTATATTACAAGCCAAACAAAACTATTGCATGAACTCAAACACTCAAATTTTTAAATTACATTTCTTTAATACAAACTCAACGATTACTCACACTCTACAAAATTTCCTATCGACTTTTTATATAAAATCCATTTGTTCTTTTATTATATCATTATCTTTCATTGTTCTTCTAAAATCTTCTTCTTTTCTTCTTCTTCTTCTTCTGTTTACCGTGTCCCTTCAGGACGTAGGTGATCGAAGCTCTCCACAATTTCCTGTATTTTGTATCAATAAATATGTTTTTCACTCCTAATCCATATTCTCCCAAACAAGCTCGTTACGTATGTTATGAGCTGTCTACCTAGACTTCAGTATGTCCTGTGAGTGTCAAAATCTCCAAACCATCTTTCCTCATTATGTGGCTTCAAAATTTCAACGGTCTCATTTCTGATGCTACGGATACGAGTCCTTTTCGTTTCCATTTTCTCCAAAACTCTGTCCTTGCTCACGTGATCGGTCCATGGTATTCTCAGCATCCTTCTGTAGAACCAAATTTATGTTGGCTCAAGATGAGATTTTCCAGTATTCACTGTCATTTAGGAGGACTGATATTACATTCAGTGCGTTTTTCTTTGTTTCTAATGAAATTTTCCTGTTTCTTTATACTTTGCTTAGCTTTTGTAAGACATCTTTCCCCCATTGCGCCTTCGGATTTTGGGCCCGAATGCCACTGCATATAATATTCTTTACAGGTCACACTCCTCCAAAATCTTTTGAACAGGAGTATAGGTTTATCCCTTGATACTTGTTTACGATTGGGTTTCGGCTTCCTTCTAAAATCTACTTCAATTCTATACTTCTAATGTCTCTGCCTATAACTAAAATTTTTGTTTGTTTGTTTTTTTTATTCCTATTTACTTCTTTTCAATAGGCGTAGAGGTTTGTTTATTGCTTCCTGTTTAGGATGGCATTTCCGGTTTCTTCTAAAATCTTTTTATTTTTTTCACTGGTGGCTCCTAGCGTCTTTGTGGCATTATCACCTTACTTGTGTGGATGCATTTTTATTTGTAACCTCTACATCGAGTGGTTCTTGGGTGAGCATCATTGTAATAATAATAATAATAATAAAAACACAAAAAATAGAATTTTCTAGAAAGGGTAAATAACTCCGGCATTGCTTGATGCTGCGAGGATACCGAGGAAGGTGCTGGTGATTTGAGTAGACAATGTGAAGAAGAAAAAATACATGGGATTGGCGCTAGATGATCTGAATCGAAATTAATGTGAATAAGGAATCTTTGTTCCAAGACAAATTCATCTACGATGACCCCAAATGATACCAAAAATTGACTTTGCTAAAAAAAAAAAAATATCTGGAATTTACTAGAGAACAGAAAGAATATGAAGGATGAAAATACGCTCACCATTAACGTGCACCAATGAGATTTACAAAGAAATGAGAAGAGAATGAAATCCGAAAAAAGACTGAAAACGCCCAGAAAACAAAATTATTTAGTGCCGTGCGTGATTCACGCTTAGGCGATCATGTATCTTTCGGCTGACGAGGCAGATTTTTTCCCGCAGTAGATTACAATTTCTTTCATAGCTGGGGAGAGGAGAAGAGAATCCATACCTTTCCCAAGGATATTAGCACGTAAGTGAATATCAGTCAGTTATGTGCCATGCGTGATACACGTTTAGGCGATCATGTATCTTTCGATACATGACTGACGAGGCAGATTTTTTCCCGCAGTAGGTTGCCATTTCTTTCTGCGGTAGACCACTTGCCATCCAAGGCTACAGAACCCAGCCTGTCATACTATTTACCCATAGCTGGGAGGAGAAGAAGAGTATTCATACCTTTCCCAAGGATATTAGAACGTAAGTGAATGTAATAGATTGGACTGGAATACGAACTCGGCTCTCCGATTCCTCCGCTATCCATTGCTCCACCGTACTGAGCTAAAATACAGAGAAAGATGCTAAATTGATGTCACCTTATTTCCAGCTTAAACCACCGAATACTACATATATAAAATATTTAAGAGTAAATAATAATAATAATAATAATAATAAAATTCAGGATTAAGGTGATTATGGCTCTCCACAGATTCCCTGTCTTTATTATCTCTGAATTACGATGAATTCTTGGTTAAAGACACTAGAGTGGGTTACTTTTGTATGGTTTTGATTTGAGTTAGAGAGACCAGAATGGCCAGCTATTTATATTTTTCCCATAGCTGGGGAGAGAAGACGTGGCTTTATAACTTTCACCAATCTATTTGTGCATAAGTGAATGCAACGAATTCCGATTTCGCATTACGATGTTGTATTTTACAAGCATTGGAATTTGTTAGCTGCAAGATCGAAGTGAAGACGAAAGTTAAAGAGGCGTTAGGTAGCAAGGCGTACGCGCTTTCGAAAGATTGAAACCGCGACACAACTATAAGCGACAAAGAAAGGCAATCTACTTTAGCAGATGAGCAACCGTCTACCCTCTCATAATTCAGTGTCAGTGTTTCTCTGTGCGATTTATGTTAGAT